AACATGAGCAACCCCAATTTTACCACAAGGGTGGCCAAGAAGCAACGAATGCTCCATCATCCTGGCCATAAATATAAAAGCAATGATCGCAACGATTACGCCGGCCCACAACCAGTATCCGTGTGTCCGGTAGTCCTAGGACCAGAAAGCCGCCGCGGGGAAATGGATGGCGCTCAGGCTGAGCTCCACACTTTTTGTGTTGTTCGAATGACCCCAGCATCAGAAAGTGGGTGCCGTGTCGGCGATCACCAGGTGGGCACTGAGGGTGAGTCCCGAGGCAACGAAATCCACGGTGGGACATTATGCATCTTCTGCGCACGCAAAGGCTGCCTTACCTTCTGTTTTAATTTCCTCTCCATATTTTGTTCCCGGATCGTTTCTGATCCTATTGGCGACTTTGAAAACACCGTAATATCCATCCATGCAATTAAGTCTCTATATAGCTCTCGTCACAACCTGTCGTCAGACCGCTCCAGGCCCAGCTGTCGCGAGCCCCTGAAACCTTCTTGTTAACACAGCAGCTCTGTTAATTTTGGCTGATTTGTTCTAACTGGGACAAGACTATCGCTATTTCCGGGTCTTCGTTGGCACTCAATATATCTTTATTCAGCCATGATATTCATATGGTTCAAAATTAAGTGCTAAATGCGCGGTTGACAGAGCACCTGTTCCGAGCCCCCCGCTCGGGTATCTGATTTTTGATTCAGTTCATGTAAACCCTCCGCAGGCCAATTGGTTTGTTGAGACTAGCTCCGGTGTATTAATCACGTCAGGCTACATCTCATCTCACCAATTGTCCACAGAATTCTGTCTCTGGATACGTTTGGGCTCACAGGACCCCCGTCTACCTCCTACAACTGTTTGAAGGTACAGTAGTAGGGGTTTTTGTCCATAGAAAACCCGAGGACTGTGTTTGCACAAATTTGTGCACTTGGTGAATTCGCACAAACCTCCGCCAATTGTCCACAGAATTTTGTCTCTGGATAATTTTGGGCTCATAGGACCTCCATCTACCTGTTTGAAGGTACATTAGTAGAGGTTTTTGTCCATAGAAAACCCGAGTACTGTGTTTGCACAAATTTGCGTGCTTGGCGAATCCGCGCAAACCTCCACCAATTGTCCACAGAATTTTGTCTCTGGATAATTTTGGGCTCACAGGACCCCCATCTACCTCCTACAACTTTTTGAAGATACAGTAGTAAGGGTTTTCGTCCATAGAAAACCCGTACACCATGTTTGCGTAAATATGCGCACTTGGTGAATCCGCGCAAACCTCCACCAATTGTCCACAGAATTCTATGTGTGAACACTTCAATTGGGATGCCAAAACCACCACTCTGCGCCATTAAACGACACTTTATGGTGGCTGGTAATCACAATAATTTTGGCGCAGACTTTGATGTTTCACAGCGGCTCCATGCGCATGGGCAAAGAATCTACCAATGACAAGCTCACCATGTGGCAAAGAAGACTGGCTTCGAACTCTGGCCAATACACAGGACAAAGACAAGGATTTGATTTGGCGTGAGATTTTTGACAGTTGCAACTCAGCAGATGGGATTATATTTACAGAAATGCCATAGGAGAACGAAGAGTAGTTGAATCTGCATCTTGCTACAGTTTGACTGCTATTTTACCTCCAGATTTGTGTACCAAGTACCATCCACCCTTGTGAGTTAATATTGGTGTGACTCAACCGACTTGAGTCGACTCAAGTGACTTCAAGTGACTTGAGCTGACCAAGTCAAGTCAAGTCAAGTCGAAAGTTGTCACAAGTCGACTTAGCCAAGTCGACTTCCGACTTAACGAGTCGCGGCAACACTATGCGCGACATATACGTTGGGAACATTAACCGCTGCTTCGGATTGATAAGCAGGTGCATACCTGCGTAGCGATGGCAGCATTGTAAGCCAGATTGTGCCTTCAGAGGTTGCCCGCACATACCTAGTTGGGTGCGGGTGAAGACGAGAGGAATTCCTTGCGCAGGTTTTCACTGATGGGGTTATACCCGGCCCTGGTGGCTCATCGAAGTGAATATACCATGCCCAGATTTTTCGACACCGAGATGTTCCCCCGCAAGATGATCATTGATCTGAAGTAGCATCAGCGTTAGCGCCTGCGCATACATGGAGTAAATAAAGACTGAAGTATAGTGCCCCATATCCATCGCGCTCGTGTATTCTGTGTTACGGCGCTCGTTTACCAGGGCCCAGACAAAATTGGCTCGGACATACCATGCTTGCACCTGAACCTTTCTAGATATTTTGCTATGAGTGCACAACCAAGGCACTCACGCGAGGTCCAGGATTTCGCAGGTGATGTAAGTGATGTGTGACACTTCTCATCGGAGCAAAAGAATCTTGTCGTCCTGGTACGGTCGCAATGCGATATGAACCTCGTGAGGCCTTTGGAAACCTTCAGAATATGAAACATGAGAAGAGAACTGAACTCGCCCACACCTTTCGGCTAATTTTTCCAGTCTGAGTTCAATCTGGCGGCGGTAAACTGAATGCACTTTTAGGGTATTCTCCCGTTGTTAAGGTTCAATGCGACAGAGTCGACCGTTGAAAATGAGGAGGGTGGGAGCAACTGGCCGGGTAGGCCGAAGGCGTGACCGAGGAGATACCAAAACAGTGTGTGCATTCAATCATATAACATACTGAAGGCACGAGATTGCATAGTAGAATAGGAAACCACCACAGGCTAAATAATTCAATCCCAGTGGCACCACTGAGGGAAGGGTTTACCGGTTGGACTTTGCCACGCACTCCAGCTCGTCTTTTTTCTGTGATCGAAGATCAGTACGCATTGATACTGCAGGCGTATAAGTGGGGTGTGCACATACCTCGATGGCGAACAGGCTGCATAAGCCCTTTGCAGTGTCGAAGAGCCCGTCCGCGAGGCACTCTGCGATCGATTTGACATTTCAGATGGCAGATTTGCGGGCCTAATAATAAAAGTAAAAAAAGGTACGGAAGACAGATCCAAAAAGAATTGAATAGGATGAACGCACGCCGATGAGTCGACACGTCGCAGAGGCAAGCCATCGACGCCCTGCCGGCAGACTGTTCCTGCGAACCGATACGAGTCAAATCCTCTCAGAGACCGTTTTTGACAACGGCGTCAACGAGAACCTTGGCGCACGCGGGTAAGTGTTGCATACATCAGTAAAATAAAATATAAACACACCTGGATGGAGCTCTGGTCAGCGAGAAGGTGGATGATCTCAAAGACGTGCGCGACGATGCGCATGGCAGGCAGCTTCTTGTCGTTATTGCTGCCCTTCATCGTCAGGCTAACCACAAACGAACATGTGATACATCAGCGCTCCGTGCACGCGGGTCCCGACTCGAGGTATTAAAACGATCGGGGACACAGTGCGCATGGACAGGACGGCCACACAGACAGGAACGATGCGCGGCGGGGATTCGAGTTGAAGTCGCCAGTGTAATGAGCTGCTGTAGAGGAGGGATGATCACCCCATCTCGCTGTGCCGCGTGCTCGTGGTCAAAATATACAAAAGGAAGCAGCGCGGGGGTCTCGGCACTAAACCTGCATACACCGTGTGAGGGGACAGTCAACGTCGACAAAGATGGGAATGTACCGGGGCTTAAATCTTCTCGTCGCAGGCACGGAAGACTTGGACCCCGCGCTAGAATCGAGCTTGTGGTCAACGTTGCTGAAGGATTTTGAGCTCGGTGGCGCAGTGGTGAGCGATGATCCATGCTCATAAGGACGATAAGGATCGAGTGGCTGCGGCGGCGGTGGTGCCGAGACGTAGGAAAGGGCATAAGAGCACGATTGGTGAAAGTCTTGTGCCAGATTCTCCGTGTCTACGAATTTGCACTTGGAAATTCTGCCATGGTAAGTCAAATGTCACAACTAAATCATTTGAAACGCACCTTTCTACCTCAATCCAACCCCGACGGCTTGGCGGCACGCCCAGTGATGGATTGCAGGCATCTGGGCGATGACACTGACTAATTAACATTTAACAATGCCCGACATACGGCGCCGGGTGAATCATGGCCTGAAATAACGGAAATTGACATTTATAAAACCTACGAGATGGGAGCAGAAGATAAAAGACAATGGCGTACAATTGCTCAGAACCTTTGGCAACGCGTGAAATGACTTGGAGCTGCTTTAGAGGCAGATAACGAGTCCGAACAGGACCAGGATGTACTCCAGAGGGTGTCCGAGATATCACCAAGTTGCAAAAAGTCTGTGCTGGGTCGCGGCGAGGACGATGGACGTGGCAGCGGGAAAGCGCGAATTATTTGTGTCGAATAACGTCAGCCGGCTGCCGGATAAGTCCCGTATAAGGCATACCGGCCGCTTACACGGCACTTATCATGACATTATAATGCCGGCACCTTATAAGGCTATTTTTATTTTTCCGGCATTTGTTGCTTTGATAGCAACACCAGTTCCGGTCCCTTCATTCTCGCACGCTTCGAAAGCTCGCGTGCCCGACTGCCGAATCCGCGACGGTAGTTCCGACCCGACTTCTTCATTTACATGAAGCGTAGTGGCGGAACAGCGAGGTCCTCATCCTAGAGTCTTGCTCTGGCCTTGCTGGTCCCAGCCCGCCTGTCCAACTCTACGATGGCTGGAGCTTCACGGGGCCACCATCAGGGGTCGGAACGCAGTAGTGGTGTACGTCTGCCCAAGATTTTGGGCAGTTGAGGCGGTCCGGGGTTCGAATCCCTGTCTAAATGTATGTGGGATAAACTTTTTTGCTCCCTTCCGCATCAGTTCTTGTCGGCTACCCACTGTGTATATTCAACATCCGCTCCGCGACGGTCCGGCGTCACCTCCCGTGTCTGAATGTGTGAGGAATAAACCTTCTTGTTCCTCCCGTATCACATGTTACCCATTGTCGATCTGACTTGTGACTATTTACCATCCGTTACGCACTCAGAGTCCTTCGATTCCAACTGGTTTTTTCCTCAGACCTTGATCCCTCCTTCTACCCCAGCTTAGTGTAAGCCGAGAACTCGGACATAGTGTATGATACATAGCTCCCGCCCATGACCAGGGTTTTTCGATGGATTAAGGAGGCAGTCCGGGGTTCGACTCCCCGTGTCTGAATATTCGAAAGGTCGCGTTCTTTTCTCGGGTTTCCCGATGCACTCTCTATGTCATGTTTCTTTCAGACCTTGAGCCCAATTCGCATGCACAAATTATGTATAGTTCTGCCTCTCATCCATATATATCTGCCTTATCCCACCTCAATGTAAGCCAAGAACTCAGATGTGATGTACAGTGCACATCTCCTGCCCATCACTGAGTTTTAGAGGCTACGGGGGCATCCCGGGTTCGACTCCGTGTCCGAATACCCAATCTCCACAGGGATTTTTCCCCGGTCTTACCTGGATTCTTTTCACCGCCGACACGCATTATCTGACTCGGGTATATTTTCAACGTCCACAACCGACCTCCCTGTGTCGCTTAAAACTTTTCAGGCTTCGCCTTGAACATAAAATCCAAAGGATGCTACTTTTTCCGGTGGCTTGAAAGATCCACGAGCCCTGACGATTTACTCACTCCGAAAAATGTCATGTTTATGGGCGCCTAAGAACGTTCCCGAAACCTTTAGTTTCAGGGCCGGAAGGGCGGCCCGGGCCCGGCCCGGTGATCCGCGCCTGAAACTAAAGTTTCAGAAACGTTTTGGGCACCCGGAAACTTGACATTTTCCGGGGTGACTGTACCTAGTATGTGAGGCGCGGACTGAAAAGGGCTTTGAGCGGCAAACCATGCCCGTCGGAATTAAGTAGTCATGTAATGATCCGGTATTGCCCGCACTCATTTAAGGCTTAGTCCCAACCTCCCGCAGTTTCGTCACTGTCTCCGTTCCCCCACACACACAATCGTCTGAGATCTAGACTATGAAACAGCATGACGTCTGTTCCGGCCGCCATCGAACTCCAAGCGCAGGGGACTCGGTCCCATCGTTCACCGTCCTCCATCCACCAAGATGAGGTCTCGACACCGGAAGACACACCGCCAACGCGAACATATCAAACTCTGCTCGTGTTTTCCGCATTCCTGATGATTTTTCATATCATTGGAATCAATACAGTGTTCGGAATTTTCCAGGTGCCTTGTGACGATTCTTGCACTTTCTTGTGTGGCTCACCGCCCAATCAGGATCTGTACACTTCCCCAGAAAGCAATATCCCGTCCGCGCGGGGAAACGACGCGGTGGTGTCGCTGGTGGGCACAATTGGTAGCGGATTGACGTGGAGCGGAGGGATATTCGTCAACCCGATCATCGCGCGTGTCGAGAGCCTGAAGCTCATTACATTTATTGGGGCAGCAGTTATGAGTCTGGGGTTATTCCTCGCAAGCTATTCCTCCACTGTGCGTGCCCAATATATGCCCCCATTGGAGCTGATTCATAACCCACCGCAGATCTGGCAGTTATTCCTCACCCAGGCCCTCCTTTATGGGATCGGGTCTTCGTTGTACTACTTCCCCCTCATGACCATCGCCCCGACGTATTTTGACCGCCACCGGGGCTTTGCCATGGGATGCATCCTCTCTGGCGCCGGATTCGGCGGGCTCGTGATGGCGCCTGTCCTGCAGAGCCTCCTCGACCGGTATGGCGTCCGTACCGCTCTGCGCATCCTTGCAGCGTGGAACTTTGCCGTTGGTGTCCCGGTCGCATGCGTCGTCCGCCGCCGTACAGGCTTCGACCGCGCTGCCAACAATGCGCGCACACGGATAAACATGGCGCTCGTGAAGCGAGGGACATTCTTATATCAGGTACTTATGACATGTCATCCTGCGTCTCCTTACTTCCTAATCCGCGACCCAGGCTCTAGGCGCACTTCTTCAAGCAGCGGGCAATGTTATCCCGCTGTACTATATGACGTCTTACTCCGTATCCGTCCTCGCGTACTCGCATTCGACGGGAAGTCTCCTGCTCGCTATCAACAGCGCCGTCAATAGCGTCTCCAGAATCGCAATGGGTCTCCTCGCTGACGGTGTCGGCCGGCAGAACACCCTGATCGCTGGGGTATGCATCCATCTCCTCCCTCCAATCTTCCTTTTATCCATCGCCACCGTGACATTGCTGCTCTAACTCTAACTAGGTCTTTCTCTCCGCGCTCTCTGTCTTTGCGCTCTGGTACGACGCCCAGCGGCAGCGCTTCACTGCCTTCGTCGTCTTGTACGGCGTCTACGCAGGTGGGTACAACGCGCTCATGCCGACGACCATCACGGAGATCTACGGCGTCGAAAACTACGCGCGCGTGAACGGGTTCATATATTTTGTGCGCGGGCTTGGGTCGCTGCTCGGGGCGCCAATTGCGGGGCTCATTTTGGGGACGCATAAGCGCGGCGGGGCGGGGCGGGGACGGGCAGGTAGAGACGGAGATGCTGCGTGTGAGATACGAGCACGTCGTCGTGTACGACGGGCTGTTGCTTCTATGCGCGGGGATGTGTGTTGCGTACGTGCGCTGGCTCGATGCGCGCGATAAGGGCGTGTGGAAGTGGAAAGCGTAATTATTGTAAGTAACTTCAAAGCTCCGTGAATATATCGGTCTTGGTTTTTGCCTGGAGTAGCAGTGTCCCCCCCCTTCGTGTTTTAATGGCTTGCTGGCCAATGCCGGAAAGCAATGGCGAAGTTCCATTTTCAACTTTCGCCATGGTTCATCGATATTTTAATTGCCTCACCGATTCATGATCGCCTCCGAGTCTCAGTCTTTGCAGCCCAACGGCCACACCAAAGGGCAGTAGAACCGTGGACTTGGCGCCCACTCAAGTAATTGGCAATGTTACAGGCCGAGTCTTCGAGTTATCCCGGTTCAGCCTTTATAGGAGCTTCACGAGTCTAACTCGACGGGGCACGATTTGAGTCCACGCAAATTACTGGTAGAAAACTGCAGGAATTCGTGCGCTGAAAGCCGAAACTGCATACTGAAATCCATACGGACCCCCGCTGAAATGGGAGTGAAATTATGTGAGAGTTGGGGTAATACACTTCTCGCAATGAACGAGGGAGTACAATCTACAATCTACAATCTAAATTCAAACCTTCCGCGACCCTTATCCATTTATCCGGTTACACCACGCTCAAAGCTCGAAAGACTGTCCGATGACTTCCTCGGTGAGGGTCCACAACTTCGCCGCATTCGCCTGCGACAATATTATTAAAACAAATATTCAGGGCAGAGAGCGTGAGGGTGCTCACAGGATCCGATGAATGCGGTGCGACCGTCTCCGTCGCATCCTGACAATCGTCGAGATACATCCCGGATTTATCTGGCCACATTCAGCGTTAGACTCGAAGCGAATCGAAAGAAAGAAAATTCGCACGAACCGGAGAGGCTGGGGTCGAATGCCGCTAACAGAGTGCTGAAGAGGGGGGGGGGATCAAAATATTAATATCGCTTGGGGGCGAAGGAGAAGGTTGATTTATCTTACGTCGAAGCGCCCTCTGGGACCGTCTTCCATTCCAACCCCTCGATTTTTGTGTTGGGTTCACCGTTTTCGTCGATAAGACCTGGAAGGCATCAAACGACGAATTTAGTCAATATGAGATGAGAGGAACTCACCCGCATCTAGCCAGTATTGCTTGCTATAGTCCTGGTGGAAGACTTGCGTGTGAACCACTTACGACGGGACGCACGTCAGTACCGACCAAACGCCTGGAATGGAGAAATACAACACTTACGTCCAGGGTTCAGACTGTACACATTTATCTTCCCCTTGGCACGCCTCGCCAGCTCGATGGCCGTGAGGACGTTAGCGCTCTTCGTCTCCCTATACGCCCCCGCGATCGTCGGATATTTCGTCGGAATGGGTTGGGCAAAGGTCGTGAAGTCAACGCCGTCGCAGAAGGCGTGTGCGACACTGGCGACGAAAACTACTCGAGGGACGTAGCTGGTGGTTCCCGCGGCCAAGAGCTTTGGAATGAGGAGATTCGTGAAGAGGAACGGCCCAATATGCCCAGTGGCCATTTGGTGTTCCAGGTTGTCCACCGTGACTTTGAAAGGCCCCCAGGCCGACGCAGCATTGTTGATCAACACCTTTGGCGGCGCCTGTCAGCGACAAATTCTTTTGAGGGGGAAAGAATATAGTCCCGTACATGCAAAGGCTCTGGGTACGCATTGACCTCGGCAGCAGCGGTGCGTACGGCGGCCAAAGAAGAGAGGTCAAGCGTTAGTTTGCGAATGTGAGCGGCAGGAAATTCCTTCTTGATCGCGTCCTCGGCAAGCTGCAGTCTGCATTTCAAATTCAATTGAATCAGCACCGATTATGAGACAAGAACACGAACCGCTCAGCGCTGTAGCCAGTTATGATTACCATGTTCGCGTACTTGGCAACTGCGCGAGCGGTTTCGAACCCGATGCCCCCGATGGATGTCCCGGTAATGAGGACTTTAGTCCAGTTGTTAGTAAGTTAAATAGGGAGCCCAATCCATATCCAACGAACCATTCTTGCCCTCAATCTCGCGGGAAAACGCGTCAGCGACTTGCTCACCGGTCGTATGCACCGAGAAGGTGGTTGACGACATGAAACTTTGAAAGCCAAACTTGCGAGGATATTGTCCGCTTATATGCGTTTTCGAGATTCAAGTCAGGAGCAAGTCAAGAGCGAATGCTGGTGACGCGTACATTGCCGTACTGTACGTACACACCTTTTGCGCTAAAGCCAAATGCCAATCTCGGGAATCCATCCGGCTGATTCATTTGGGATGACCAAGCACTGTTGAGCGGCATAATCCCGGCTAGCTTTTCAACTTGCTGCGAACGCCTAGCCGAGCACTGAATCTATTATTTCAAGTGAGGGAAATACCACCTAGCTAGATTCCAGTAAGTCTGCGGCTTGCGGGTTGCCGCGCTCACCAAAACTCTGGAAATCAAGTGGAAATCATAACTGGCCATGAGTGCCGTGCGCCGGGCTCTCGGCAAGGTCGGCGGCGTCTCATGCCGTGCGGCGTCTTTCGGCCTGACGCCATGGCTATCGGCCCGACTGACATTCTCAATTCTGGAGTCTGGAGCCCGGCATTGTGGCTGAATCACGCTCCTGGCGAAAAAAAATCGGAGACCGATTTACATCCAAGTACGTAAGGTTTGGCCACG